GTTTGCCCCTTGATTCACAAAAACAATCTACTTAATTTCTTTCCTGCACAAGTGCTCAAAGGTTTTCCATTGACTATATTAGTTACTTTGTACAAAAGTCTCTAATTAGACCCGCTGTCAGGCCATAACTCCTAGATGGCTAGGCAGGGTCGGAATGGCAGGAAGCTATAAGTGAAATTAAATTCTGCAGAAAAAGAAACAGCAAGTCATCAAATCCAGGATCTGCCTAACAAAACCAGAGGGCATTCAATTTCAACTGACTGAAAGAACAAATTTGATCTTAATTACTAAGAAGCTCTTACAAGTTGTGAGGAAGTCACAGCTTAAGAAGGATCAGTCTCCTAACTTCTTGATAAATTAGTTTCTCAAGACTAACCTTTTGGATGCCAAAGAAATACATCACACGCATGGCAGTCAGGAAAATGTCAGTGTTCAAGAGGGTAAGGTAAATGGCTAAGTAATCACGAAAATGACATCTATGCATGCTTAACAATATGCTAAGTCTGAAAAATAAAGATTAAATTTAAATATAAAATTTAAAGAAGCACTGCCACACACTGGCAAAAGTGTTTAAAGCTGCCATGCCATCACTTGCCTTAGTTAATTCCAGGTTTTTGCTTCCTAGAATCATATCCTTTTTTAGGGTAGTCCTACAGAAATAGGAACGGATGGGTCTTTGTTTCTCCCAGTGTATTCTGAGGGAGGCTACCTCCCACTCCCAGGCACATCAAGACTGTGGTCCCTAATGCGACAAGGTGTGATCTGGCAGGCAGGGCAATCCTGGCTTCTCCATTAATTGGGTGGGAGGAGGAGGCCAAGCCAAGGAGACACTTACACCCTAGACCCTTCATGAATGGGAAACAGGTGCAAAGGCAGGGCGAGTGGAGCAAGCACTGCTCAAAATTCCCTGAAGCTGAACAATAGGGTAGCTCTACTCAACTCTGTGGTCTGTAAACTATAGCAGCAAAACTAGTTACAAAAACCTGAGGAAAGAGTGATACCTGTATTACCAAGAGTATTTTACCTCCATTTTATAAAATTGATATTTTGATTAAATGTGTTTCACAGTAATAAAGTTCACAGAAAAAAAAAAAACTAAAAATGTCAACTGAACACTTCATGTGAGTTTAGTAATACACCCCCTCATAAAAATAAAAGTCTTCCAAAGTTTCTTCTTATGATAAATTAGATAAATTTGCTGCTTCCTGGGTTTTTAATTGCCATTCATCTGAGAGGGTTCTCACTATAACAATGCTGCCTTCTTCCTGCCATTTACTGTTACTGACATCATACTATCTTCTGGATTTTCCAAGAAAAAGATGAAATAAAAGCAGTTTCTTTAGCAGGGGGAATTTTCACTTTCCATATTAACATTACATTATAATCAAATAGTTTCATGAAGTTTTGATCCTAAGGCTGGAAGAACAAAAACACTCTTTAAAAATGCCTCTCTAGAGATACAGCCCAGAAAAAAAAACTCTTCCTAGTATTTTATAAGTATTCTGTGTTTCCCTCCTCCCTATAAAGTGTCAATCAAGGCTAATGACTTCAAGCTTACAGAATTACTAAAGTACAATAAATTGTATGTTATTGATAAACTCGAATTTGCATAATTTCTAAGCTCACTGGCTTAGTCACTTTGGGCTACTATAATAAAGTACCTATTTATTTCTCTCAATTCTGGAGGTCTGAAGGCCAAGATCAGGGTGTTAATTTGCCAGGTTCTATTGAGGGCCCTCACCCACATTTGCAGGTTATCACCTTCTTATGTCCTCACATGGTGGAGAACTAGCACTCTTTGGGGGTCCCTGCTATAATGGTGCTAATCCCATTCATAAGGGCTCTACCCTCATGGCCTTACTACCTCTTACAGGCCCATCTCCAAATACCATCACATTTGGATTGGATTGTCAACATACTGAATTGTAGGGAAGATACAAACATTTAGTCCCCTGCACTCCCCTCTGAAGAAATATTAAGTCATTTGCAAGTGGTTTTCTAAACACTAAGCACAGGTCACCACTCTCTGAGTTCTTGAGGAGCCACTTCATCTAAGCTACAATCTGTTCAATTGCAAAAGATGATGATTGGTGTTTCAGAAAAGCTGAATTCCTGAGCCTCACTGGAGAGAGAGAGCAGCACAGTAGAAAGAGCACTGACCACGAAGTTAGGAGATACCACCACGCACATGCAACATCACAGAATTTACTTAAAAGAACAGGGTAGGCTTCAACTCTGTGCACAGAACCATGAAGCATTACTGGAGTACTGCAAGAGGCCTAGCATGGTCCACACTGAATAAATGCTATGTCTAGCACACAATGTGTTATTTATTCCCAACACACTGTTTGAATAATAAAGATCATATTAATGTAATGTGTTAATGACATGTAATAGGTTTTGTCATCATGAATTTTCTTACGGAAAAGATACTGGAAGTTTTTGAGGTTTAAAAGGCAGTCCTGTTTATTCAAAAGTTAAGGATCACTGGTCTAGATCTCTAGGTAATTACCAAAAGTCCTTTACAGGGATTAATGCATAACCTATGAATCTAGCCTTCCTAACACAGCAGCAGTCACCCGTAATAGAGGTGAGGAAAGAAATACATTATCCAATACCAGACATTACCACCTTTGTTTTAAAAAGTCTTAAAAACCAAAGGGAAAGAATTTGCATTTTAGTCAACTACCATCAAACATTTCTATTACATCCTAGGCAATTTAAACATTTCTCTGTGGCCTGAAAAGCATGGAAGAGAGGAATGAGTGTACAGTGTATACCCAGTCATCATTATTTAGACTTACAGCCTATCTTTACAAGTATTACGATGGCAGTAATACTAAATGCCTTTTAAAAACCATTTAATACCTTCTACAACTTTTATGGTACATCAAATTACAAGCTTACTCCCGTGAAAGAAAATTACCTATATTCTAACACAGCTGCATATAAAATGAATAATTGATAAGTGAGGGCAAAGAGCATTGAAAACTTAGAGGTATCATATGAATGATAAAAAAAATAATAATAATAATGCAGGCAGACAACCAGTGCTCTAAAACTCAGCAGCTATTCAATAAAAAACAATCAGTGCAGTTGGGCAGATGCCTGTGGGGGTTTTCAAAAACTTTCTTTTTTTATGGAAAGCAGCTCTAAGAGGTACTCTATCCCACTTGGACAAAAGGCAATGTCTCATAGCAAATACAACCAGTCACTTGAGAGGTTATGGAACACTGGCAAGTGCAAAGGTTTGAGCTTGCAGGCCACTGCAATGAATTTCCCTGGGGCTCACAGTGACTAAAGAAGGTACAGGTTTCATGGGGAGGACTGCCACTGAGAATCCCTCCACATTGGTTCATTCACTGGCATCTTCTGCCACCAGCCTGGGAACAACAGGCTAAATCTCCTAAGAATTCCTCCATATCCAAGCTCAGCATGAGGACCAATATTTCACTGTCTTGACTCGGTGAAATATTGACTGTGGTAGTCATACATTTCAATGTAGATCTTTACTGTATCGACCCTTTCACTGTTTTTATATGGGACGCTGAAGAGTACCGTGAAAAATTATTTTTGCATAGACCTAAAAACAACTAATCATTTCCTCTCTTTCTTATCATCAAACGCTTACAGAATCAAAAGCAGGATGACAAAAAAGTTTTTTTTTTTTTTTTAAATGTTAGCACATTTTTCATATAACTCATTACCATCAGCTATGAAGCTGGGGCTGAGAAAACAGTCTTACTCTCTCCTAATTCTGATCCTGCCCTTCCTATTCCTACCAGAGTGAAGTTAAACTGACTATATGACTATTAAATCCCCTTAATCACTGAGCTATTTTTTTTTATACCTGAACACCCCAAATACTTCCTTGCTGTCCCCACATTCATTCCTCAATTCCTTCTCTACTTCTATGCACCTTTTCTCATTTTCTTTCAAACATGGAGGATTTGGCAGTTAGAAATTTATGGTGATGAAGGTCCAGGAACATTAGAAAAAGTAAATTAGACTAAATGCAGACTTGGAATTCTTCATGAGGAAACCTACAGGGAAGAGTCAACAAAGAAGAAAGGTCTTACATCATACCTTGAACTTGGTTTCCTGAAAGCACATCTTTCCCATTTGGATGGCCTTAATCTACTTTACTTCCAACAGAGCCAGTCTGTTCACTTTCAGACATAAATACAGGCCTGAACATTATGAAAAATCAGCAACCAACATACGCAACTCAATTAGCCTCTTTTATGGCATTAATTGCATATTCTTTAGGGAATAAAAGGAAAAGTGAAGCTGTGGTTTGTCTCTCCCAGATAATTTCTGAAAGGATTCTCTCTGGGGCTCAATAAATTCTAAGAAGCACCCTCACCTAACTTCAAAGTGAAAATCCAGATAGGCAAGCCAAAGGTTTTCGTTTCCACACCTTCTGGCTTTTGATCTGACCACAGACCACTGTGGGATTGCAGAGGCCCCACAATAGGAAGAAGCAACTGCACCATCCATCTCCTGAGGTCCAGCTCAGCTTGATTCCTGCTTGCCAGAGATGAGCTTGAACTAACTCAGCAGAGAGACTGAATGAATCCTGCTTTTCATCAGAGCAAAGCTGCAGGCAGCACTTGGTGAGCTGACCCACTTCCCAGTAGTCAAGAAACAACCTTCAGTGCCACTATGCGCATCCCTCAGTTATCTCTGCCAAGGGGCTGCAGACCTCTGTTGCTGCTCTGGTGTTGTACAGGTTGCCAGGCAAGCACACCAGGCCCACCACAGGCAACAGAGCCTAGGACCTCAGGGCCAGGCTGTGGGGCACTACCATGCTTCCATCAGTGGCTCTCTTCGGAAATGAACTTAAAAGATGGGGACAGGAAATTGGAGTAGTTTAACAGGACTTTTTTTCTTTCCATTTATTGGTAACTGATAAGAAGATAATGCTTTGTGACTTTTTGAATTAAGCACCTCCCAATTAAGCTATGTCACTAATCAGGATAGAATATAAAATGCCTTACCATATGGATACTTGGTATCCAGCTTATTGTCTGCTGTTCTCCTCCAGGGCAAAAGGTCATCACTGCAACCATTTGGCATTCCATTGTACCCAATCCCGACAATCTTGTTTTCTGTATTCACAATGCAGGCTCCAACCTACAGGGAAACACATGCAAAACCTTGGTGGCTACAATTGGCTGGTCTACCACTGGGTGGGCAGTGAAGGAAACTAGAGTCTCTAGGGAAAATGTATACATGCAGGACTACAGCACAAAGGCAGCAGACTTACTTTGCATTTGCATGTTGACAGACATCCCCTTTTGTATTCTATTCACTTGTAAGCAACACTCAGTGACTATGAAATTCATTTACCTGGGAATTTGGATCTTTGCTTCTCTGTGCAGATAAGAAGGCCACTGCCATGAAATATTCAGGCCATTCCAAATAGTCATCCCGTTTTTTGCAGGAAACTTCACTCATGTTGAATCTAGAGAAAAACGTGAGAAAATGTTGAAAAAAAAAAAGTATTTTGGTAAACCTGCTTTTTGATTCAATGCACCAAACTAAACTCTGGGTCTCTAAACAGACAATTTTAACTACATTTATCAATCAGGAGTCACAAAACATGGACCTCGGACAGTCTCTGGTCTTTAAAAACATAATTTTACTATTTCAGAAGTATGAATTTGGCACCTATGACTAGCTTCACATTCCCAACAATTTCATCTATTTACTGCTTTCTCATGGGATATTTTTTCAAGTTACTACATACAACAGACCTACAAATTGCTCTTCCTCCCTTATCAGCACAGGAAGGAGAATATAAAAGAAATGTTTATTGATCATCTAATAGATTGCAAACAGCTTGTTTATATACATCATCTCGATCAAGCTTCATTTCTTGCTAAGGTAGGCAGTAAAATCCCATCTTACAGATTTAGTAAACTTAGGGAATTTGCCCTAAGCCACACAGGAGTATTATCCATGCCACTTGGACTTCCAAGTCAACATCTGAAGCTGTCCCAATTGAAAATTAACCAGATAATTTGTCCCTTTCCTTTCCCTAGATGGAACTGAAGTTATAGAGACTCTGACGACCAGATCAAATGAAAACTATGAAAAGTGTTATTTCTTTTTTTTTTTTTTAATTTTTAAAAATTTACTGTTATATATTTAAAATTTACATGGGAAACCCCAGGGAATTGAGCTTTTTAAAAGATGAAAAGTATTACAAGTGTGGCAGATACCTAGAATTTAATAAAGCATAATAATTGACAGCTTTAAAAAATCACAATAAACTATTTCTAAACTCGGGTTTCTGTAACACGGGCTTCACTCAGGGCAGGCACCAGTGGTCTCAACAATAAGGAGAGCCCATGAAGGTAGTCTAGACCTTCAGGTAGAAAGTCTTTCCAAAAAAAAAAAAAAAAGAAAAGAAAAAAGACCCCTCAATTACTCGGATCACTGAAAAAGTCTAAAAGAAAGCGAGAAATTCCCAAAACTTCCACTTCAAGCTTTGGACTCTAAACTTTGGCTCTAAGCAGTGCAGAAGTGCCTGAAAAGGATAAATGACATTTAACAGGTTAAATGCCCACTGATTCTGTTGCCTCAATTCTGAGGAGCCTGCAAACCCTCTTAACCAGAACCCCCAGATTCTGTATTGGCCTGGTTGCCCACCTGACGTAAGGACTGGCATCTGCAATGGCTATAGAGTGCCACGTAAGCACCTACTAAACAGGAGCGAGAGAGGAAATGGGGGAAGGCAGGCCAGGAAGGGAAAGCAGTGCATTACCCCGCCGCATGCCTGACCTGTCCTGTGCGTGGTTTAATGCCCACTGGAGCCCTGGGAGGACTGACACCCAGCTGCACAAACGGAAGGCACCTGAGGCTGGTATACAACTAGTCCAGGAAGACCGAGCTAGCCCCGCGCCTGGGCAAACCCAGGACTCCACAACTCCCTCAGCTCTGATCCAAAAACTAAAGCCCGCGTTCCCGCCCCAACACGTGGACGCCAGAAGGACTGCTATTTTCAGACTCCCAGAACCAACTCCCGCCACCACCGCGAGGGAGAAAGCTCGGCAGAGGCAGCAGCCTTCGCCGTTAAATTAACCCCGGCGTGCCCGAGAGAAGCAGAACCCCCGCCGCCACCCCAGGTGGTCCACTGTCAAGTTTCCCGCGGAGCAGGACTTCCTCAGGGCTCGCCACGCCCGACCCAGGCCCGCGAGCCGGGGACCCCGCTCCCCGGGGAGCCACGTGGAGCGCGGCCGCGTACCCGCACGGCCGCCCCCACCCGCTCCGGTGCGGGCTCCGCTGGCCTGCTGGCCGGTGCTCGTCCTCGCCGCCGCCGACGCCGCCGGAGCGCGCCCAGGGGAAAGAAATCGCGAGAGGAGGCGGGGCTGCTGCGTGGCCGGAAGGTGGCAGCGGCCAGCGAGGCGCGCGCTCGGAGGGGGCGGCGGCCCGGCGGCGGGCGGGGACGGTGCGCACGGCCGCGGGGAGTCGCATGGTGTCTCCGCCTCCCACTCACTGTGCGGGCTCAGTTCGCACAGGCCACCTTCCGGTTGGGGAGTTTTAGGGCCAGGGCATCTGCGCTAATGATTGCCCCGGGGGTGCCGGGCCGCTTTGTGGAGACAGATGGTTCAGATTTAGCCCCTTTTTGCGCCGCCCACGGCGGCCGCGCAAAGAAGTCAAGCAGCTGCTTGTCCGGCCCCGCCCAGCATTTCGTGGCGCTCGGTGGCCCCGGGTTGGGTGCCCGAGAGGGACCTGCTCCTCACTATTCCTAGGGGTCTGACTGTATCCATTTGAGGGCTGGGTGGTTTCTGTTGGTAGTGGTGGGATTTCTTTCCCATCTAGATCTCCTACCAATTTCTTTAAGCTGTTGCTCAAATAAACATCTATTATATGTAACTGAAAGACGATTCAGCGCATCTAGTGTCGTGAAAATGAAAGGGGCAGCAAGTGAGAGGAACTGATTTTGGCCTTTGGAATGAGCCTGCTGTGTAGCGGTGCGCTGGAGGGGACTATTTGTCTCTGCCGGCTTCGGTTTCATACTAGAGGGATTTGTTTGGGCACGGTGCGCCTAAAGGCACAGATACCTCGAAGCTGCATTTGCGTTTTGCTTGATCGGTTTAGTTTCTACTGAAATTGTGTGGAACGGCCTGAGATGTTTGCTATAGTCTACCACCCCCTCTCTACTCCCATCACTCTGGGCACACATTACTTTTGGCAATTCCCCGGTAAAGTTTGCCCACTAAAATTGTGTAGGTTTCTTCAAATTGTTTAAGAAGATCAGGAAAAGGGGGCACAGGACAATAGGAAAGGTCATCGTGAAGTTTCCAAGGTCATATGTCTCAAGGAACTAAATCCGATTTTCTTGCACTTCATAACTCTATTCAAACATCTGGCCCCTAAATCTGATAAAACATTGGTGAATGACAGAAGAACCTGTTTTACGCATGGGGCTTGAGGGATACCTCCAATGTTCCATAAATAATAGTTACTGTAATAATTGTGAGTTCTTATCTGTACATCCCAGATCTGAATACTAATCCAAACAAAAGCTTATTAACTATATTAATTTAGCTTAACCGAGGAAGAATGATGAGAATAAACAGTTTGTTCTATCCAATTTCTCACTACAGCAGACACATCATTCTTCATCTCCATGGTCCAGTCTGTGGATTCAATAATTAAATTATGTACTGCTCTTGGCGAATGCCCGGAAAGCAAAAGAGAAAGATGCTTCATTGTTAACTATAGATTTTTGGGTGGCCTTAATAAAATTCAGACTTGAAAGAGCAATATAGATTAAGATGGTGATTTTTAATGTCAAATGGACTTTCCTTGACTGTCTTGTTGCCAATAAAATGTATTATACCCCGAGTCCCTTGTTTCCCTCCCCTGCCCCCCATTCTATTTCTTGATCCTTGGCAGGCTCATCCATAGTCTTTGGATCTTCATAGATGCATTTCTCTTCTTACCAATCTACAGCCAATACATCACCAATTGCTGCTGGTCCTTCAGCCACAACATCATTAAGCTTTTTCCTTCCTCTGCTCGGTAAAGACTGTCATACATAATTTAGTTACTTCTCATCATTCTCCATTTTGGTCAACTCACACATTCCCCTCTGCAATAAATTCAAGATCCTGCTTGCTGCAAACACATTACCCTGAATGTTCCTGCATTTCACTGAAAGTCCCTCATCTTAAAGATGGAATCATTCATAATAGAGGAAGCCCTTCTGATTCATACTTCACAGTTTAAGGTTTCACATATTCTATACCAACAGCAAAACCTGGTAGCCTGGGGGGAAAATACATTTTTTTTTTGGTATATCTTGCTCATTAATACCTTGTAACATCCAAGTTTGACTACAGGCATTAAATCTTTCTTGCAAAGACCTGTATTTTGGCCTATAATTGAGGATCTTTCTTCACCCAACATAGACACAGAGGTCTACTATGCTTTTAGTCATATATAGATTTGTCAACTATATATTTGTCAAATCTCCTTGCTAGGGAGGGGATTTCATATGGGGGGGACACTATCAGCATGTTGCTAGGGACTATTGTCACAAGCTTTGGTGTCACTCCTTTAATTATAGGACTGCTTGCAGGTTATCTACTGGTCTATCACGTAATTTAGAATATATTTCAGTATCTCAGATGTGAGAGACCCAGATTAAAAAGACAGAAGTCCAGGTAAGATTCTTCTGGGACTATCTCAGACAGGACTTTGGATGGCATTCATGGATATCTGTTCTACCAAGATACCACCTACTCTTTATCCCACCTCCTGTTTGCCAAGAAAGGATATGCATTGAACCAAGGAGATGGAGGGAAGGGGTCTAGAGAGAGCCAATCTGTGCATCAAGTATGTCATGGGGAAAAGGACACAGGCTGCAGGATTGCCACACTTTGAATTCTAACTACTTCTTACTACCCAAGTGACCTTCAAAAAGCTCTTACATACTTGGAGTCTCTAGGAGGTTGACAACTTTCATTCGATCATTTTTTTATTAACTCTCTGCTATATTCTAATGCTGCAAGTGCCACAGTGAGCAAGATAAACCAGTCCTTGCTCCCCACCCCACCCCCAATAAATGCAGAACTAAAATTTCATTGTTGGTCCAGTTAACAAAATAATTGTTAATATAAGTTGCCCACTGCAGTATCTTTGTTCTTAGTTTAGTGGTCATCAGAAGCTCAACAGATAGTTGGACAAAGAAGGAAAATACCGCTTTGACTATTTTTTGAAAGAATGGTGCTTTTGTTTTCCAGGTTGCAGCCCAAGCTGGAGGAAAGTGTTTAAACCCTGAGAAAGGGAAGGATTGTATAGTTTATACTAAGACAAGAAAAAATCAATGAAAATTCTAGGAAAAATATTAAATATGTGGTCTTGTCAATTTATACAATTTTTACGTGTGTTACATCATGAGGTCAGATATTTGTGTTCAATGAAAGGAAAACAGATTGCAAATAGACATGACAGAATATTGCTCTAGGGGGGTGGGGGAAGCATGATTCCTAAATAGGAATTTTTCCCATGTTCTTTATTGGTGCATTATAGTTGCACATAATGGGGGGACTTGTAGTTACATATTCTTACATAAACACAATATAATAATATAATTTGGCCAATATTATTCCCCAATATATCCCCTTTCCCTCCTCCTGGTCCCTTTCACCTACTCAACTGATATCCCTTCAATTTTCATGAGCTACCCCACCACCACCAGCAGCAGCACCTTTCTTTTCCTCTAAATAAGATTTTTATTATGAATTGAGGCTACCAATTGCCTTCATCATTCCACATCTTTGAAATTTTAATGATCGATGAGGAAATGTTAATGTGGCATATGCACAGGATCTGGGTGCTTTGCTATATAATCAGAAAATATTTGTTGACTAAATGAACAAATTAATAGAAAGTAATTGTGCCAAATTGTGCCAAATTACTTAGAGCATCCAACACATAAAGGTAAGTCTGTGAACTCTAGCTATATTCCTCTGCCTCCTTTTTCTTCTTGTTTTAGTAGACATGGAGAAACAGAATACAGGGAATCAAGGGCAAAAAGAATTGTTTCCAAGAGGAAAGAATCTGACTCTTAGGATTTTAGTCTTGGCTCGAAAATGACCATTTATGGCACCAGAATGGACGGCAGCTGGGAAAGCCGTCTGCCTTTTTGTGGTGCAACAGCTCTCCCCATGACTTGCTTTTCCTCTACAGAGCTGAACTTGTAGCCTCTTTCATACATAACTGGTTGAAGTTGATGGAAATTACATGTCTTATCACTTCTTAAAAGAAAAAAAATACATAAAATGTAAATCTAAAAGAAATGGGCAATTTTCTTGTACCACTTTATATTTCTGTGTAAGTTACCAAGTGCCAATCATTCTTACTTTTTAAAATTCAAATTTGTCGAGCAGCATGTAAGCTTTCAGTGTTGTACAAGAAAAGATAATGCTTCAGGTGGAACCGTCACTTATGCTAGTTCTGTGGAAGTGCCTACCTAAAAAGAATTTATCAGATTGCTGGTTTTATAGAAATATTAACCATCTCATTAAATTACACCCTCTCCTCTGAGGTCACCATGAAATCTCCTGGAGGGTAATCAACAAGGTCCTAAGTGTAGAATTCTTTATTGACATCAGAGTTCTTTCATTTTGTAATGTGTATTTTAACTGATGTAATAAGGTAAATGCCTGAGAATCGTAAATGAAAGTCCTTGTTAAATTTTATTTGGAAGTTAATGGCTATCATCACCGGCTTGACATGGTGTGCCTTTCCTCAGCTAACTGGGAAGCTCAATGGGTGGAAATTTCTAAAATGAAAAGGCAAGAGTCAAATTAATAGTCTAGTGTTGGGCGTGTGTGTGTGTGTGTGTGTACTTTTTGGTACCAGGGATTGAACCCAGGAGTGCTTAACCACTGAGCCATATCCCTAGCCCTTTTTT